TTTCGCGCTCTGGAAACGTGCAACAAGAATCGCAACACTGCCTCTCCTGAACCCCTAAATCCTAAACTGTAAAACCCCCCTCAACCTGATACTATACCCCAGCAACCATATTACAAAACAGGTACCCTTGTTGGTTACTTTATAAGGGAACCATGGACAAAAAACAGGGTAGAGGGTACCACTGGGCTACCAAATCAAAGCACCACACACACACACACACACACACCCTGCACCCTACACCCTACAGCCTGGACCCTACACCCTCCTAAACCCTAAACCCTAAACCCTAAACCCTAAACCCTAAACCCTAAACCCTAAACCCTAAACCCTAAACCCTAAACCCTGAACCCTGAACCCTGAACCCTAAACCCTAAACCCTAAACACAACCCAACGCCCGTCTTGGCACCCAGGCCAGCGCCAAAGGCTACGGCTGCCGCCTTCATGATCTGCTTGGCCAAGGACTCTGGCTCCTGGAGTTTAGGAAGTTTTGGGTTTAGGGGTTAGGGTTTAGGGTTTAGGGTTTGGGGCTTGGGGCTTGGGGCTTGGGGCTTGGGGCTTGGGGCTTGGGGCTTGGGGCTTGGGGCTTGGGGCTTGGGGCTTGGGGCTTGGGGTTTGGGGTGTGGGGTTTGGGGTGTGGGGTTTGGGGTTTGGGGTTTGGGAAGGTTAGGGTTTGGGGTTGGGGGCTTGGGGTTGGGGTTTCGGGGCTTTCGGGGGTTTCGGGGCTGTTAGGGGCTTTCGAGGCTTTAGGAGCATTAGGGGCTATAGGGTCTTTCGGCGTTTTAGGAGCTTTAAGGACTTCATTTAGGGGCTTTGCGGGGCTTCATTTAAGGGCTTTAGGGTCTCTATTTAAGGGCTTTGTTTAGGGGCTCGGCGTTTTCGGTGCTCAGGGCTTTTCGGGTTTTAGGCTTTGGGCTCAAAGGGCTCGCGGCGGCTAGGCCTTAGGGCGTGGAAAGCAGGCCTTTTTGCATTTGGAGGTCTAAACGCAAACCCTGCACCCTGAACCCTAAACCATAAACCAAACCCTAAACCCTAAACCTGAAACCGCATACCCCAAACCCTAAACCAAACCCTAGACCCCAAAGCCTTAAACCCCACACCCCGGACCCTTGAATCCCAAACCCTAAACCCCAAACATTAAACCCACACTCCAAACCCTAAACCCCAAACCCTAAACCCCAAACCCTAAACCCAAACCCCAAACCCCAAACCCTAAACCCAAACCCGAAACCCTGAACTCTAAACAAACCCTAGACCCCAAACGCCTGAGCAATATACCACAAACCAACCCTAGACCCCAAACCCTAAACCCTGAACACTATACCACAAACCCCAAACCCCAAACCCCAAACCTCAAGCCCGAAACCACAAACCCCTAACCCTAAGCCCCAAACCCTAAACCCGAAACCCTAGACCCAAACCCCAAACCCTAAACCCCAAACCCTAAACCCCAAACCCTAAACCCCAAACCCCAAACTGGGGGCCTTGAGGCCCTTCACCGCCACAAGCTGGCCCCGGAGGCTGCCAGAGCGGTCAAGGAAGTTGCTGAGCCAGGCCTTGGTTTAGGATTTAGGGTTTAGGGTTTGGGGTTTGGGGTTTAGGGTTGAGGGTTTAGGGTTTAGGGTTTAGGGTTTGGGGTTTGAGTTTTAGGGTTCAGGGTCTCAGGGGTCTAAGGGTTTTGGGGTTTGGGGGTTGAGGGTTTGGGGTTTCGGGTTTGGGGCTTTGGGTTTAGGGTCCGGGCTTTAGGGTTTAAGATTTGGGGTTTAGGGTTTGGGGTTTCGGTTTTAGAGTTTACGGTATTCGAGTTTAGGGTTTTGGGGTTTAGGGTTTGGGGTTTGGAGCTTTGGGTTGTCGCACGGTTTTTAGTTTCGAGACCTCTCGGGTCACGAGTCAGTAAGCCAAGACCACCCGACATCTGCAACCCGAAAGGTTTAGACCTTAGGGATTTAGGTTTTTCCCCTCAACCCTAAAGCTTAAACCCTAAACCCTAAACCCTAAACGCCCAGGTCCCCAACCCCTATAGCCAATCAGGATGGGCCCTAGGCCCTAAACCCTTCGGATGTAGGAGTTCGGATCCAGGGACTATTTTTTACGGTTTAGGGTTTAGGGTTTGGGGTTTGGGGTTTTGGGTTTAGGGTTTAGGGTTTAGGGTTTAGGGTTTAGGGTTTAGGGTTGCCCCAAGGTCAGGATGCCCCAAGCGCTACAGCATGTGTGATATTGCAATTGGAACCCTAAACCCTAAACCCTAAACCCTAAACCCCTAAACCCCCAAACCCCAATAAGGTCTCTACTCACCCCAGCAAACTCTGCTGGGCTGGGCCGCGCACAATCTGCTCCGCAGTGTCCTGAGGGCGCTCAGTCTAGGGTTTCGGGTTTCGGGTTTAGGGTTTCGGGTTTAGGGAAATTTGCGGCACAAGACTCTCTCAAACGCAATGAGAGAAATACAAAGTCGACCAAAGGCCTACCTTAGTCTCCATCTAGCACCATGTTCTGCTGTTGGGTAACCGACAGCTAGCCCTTAAGGCCTTAAGGCACATGTGCTTGGTAGATACGGGGGTTTACGAAAATTTGGGACCCCTAATCTTGACCCCCAAATAGTAGGTTCCCTTACAATAAGGACCCAAATCAGGCATAAGGAACCCCTAATATTGTAAAGCCCCATATCTCCAGGGCTCAAAAACTTCGATATCGGGGCCTGAATAATTACAATAAGGTTTTGGGGGTCATTACATTCTAGTTACAAAAAACCATACGGGAATATTATTAGTAGTTTATCTTAAACCCTAAACCCTAAACCCTGAACCCTAAACCCTAAAGCCTAGACCCTAGACCCTAAACCCTAAACTCTAAACCCTTCTGACCCCTCTACTATGACACACACGGATTCTCAAAGAAGAGCTTACAACACAAACCCGATGCTATGAACTGGTGGAGTACTCTCGGAGCCAGCTCCAGCGGTTAGGGTTTAGGGTTTAGGGTTTAGGGTTTAGGGTTTAGGGTTTAGGGTTTCGGGTTTTGGGGGTTTCGGGTTTAGGGTTTAGAGTTTCGGGATTAGGCTTAAGGAGGGGTCAGAAGACAACCAACTGAACGTCGGCCTCGCAGTACTCCTTGCTCTGCATGTCGTGCAGCTCGTCAAGCATGGCCTCTGAACATGAATCTCTAAGAGTAACTCAACATACCCCAAACCCATACCCCTTAACCCATAAAAGGAGAATAGAAGGAAGGATTTTACCACACCCCTTGCCCCTTAATTTCTTTTAAGGGGTATGCCCAAGGGGTATGTTGAACATTTCTTAGAGAAGTTCGCGGTTTAGGGTTTAGGGTTTAGGGTTTAGGGTTTAGGGTTTAGGCTTTGGGGTTTATGGTTGAGGGTTTAGAGTTTAGGGTTTAGGGTTTAGGGATTTGGGTTTAGGGTTCAGAGTTCAGGGGCCGGCGGGGGCTGGCCGCCATCATCCGCCACACTTGGCACCCGATGCTTTAGGGAACAGATCCGAACGGAGACCCACAAGAAGGGCCCGCTATCTAGATCAACCAGGGTTTTGGGTTTAGGGTTTAGGGTTTAGTGTTTAGGGTTTAGGGTTTAGGGATGTTTAGGGTTTAGGGCCATCAATCCCTCAATAGTGGTATACAGACCGAGACCCAGGAGTAACCTAGAAATAAAAGCGTATCAGTTTCGGCGTTAGGGGGATTATAAGGGAACCCCAACCCTAAAAACGGGAAATAAGGGCCTACTCCGGGTCCTAGTAGCCCTAAACCCTAGACCCTAAAAAAAGGAAATAAGGGCCTACTCCGAATCCTAGAGAGTAATCATGGCGGGCCGCGCAAAGCTGTGGCGTAAAAAAGAAAATTTCGGATCCTCTATTCCCTTACGTTAAAAAGGGTTTAGGGTTTAGGGTTTGCTTGGAGGTTCATGTACTTACTACCAACTATAACCAAACTTACAAATATACTTATAAGCCCCTTAAGTGCCCTAATCTGGCAATAAGTACAGTTCTAAGTACAATGGTCAATAAGCACCATGAACCTCCAAGTACTTACAGTGTCGTGTTATTCGCGCGCAAGATGCTGCACGAGACACACTACAAGCTGCCCCCGGCTTTCCACACAACACAAGCTTCAGTATTTGATAAACGGATACTACGGCGCACGCTCCTTTTTTTTTGGGGGGGGAGGGGGGGGGGGGGGGGGGGGGCCTTCTGGGTGGCTGTTGGGGCGGCCTTTGGGTTTAGGGTTTAGGGTTTAGGCTTTAGGGTTTAGGGTTCAGGGTTCAGGGCTCAGGGTTTAGGTTTTAGGGTTTAGGGTTTAGGGTTTAATTAGGGTTTAATTAGGGTTTAGGGTTTAGGGTTTAGGGTTTAGCCTCACTTTTGCTTCGTGGCGACGGGACATGTCGCTGAAGAACGCAAGGCGCGGGCGGAGGAGTATCTTTGGACTTCCCCATGCAAACGCAACTTCAAAGAGCCCGGCCTGGCCTGGTCTGGGGTTTAGGGTTTAGGGTTTAGGGTTTAGGGTTTAGGGTTTAGGGTTTAGGGTTTAGGGTTTAGGGTTTAGGGTTTAGGGTTTAGGGTTTAGGGTGTAGGTTTTAGGGTTTAGGGTTTAGGGTTTAGGGTTTAGGGTTTCGGGTTTCGGGTTTCGGGTTTCGGGTTTGGGGTTTGGGGTTTAGGGTTTAGGGTTTCGGGTTTGGGGTTTGGGGTTTAGGGTTCAGGGTTTAGGATTAAGGGTATAGGGTATAGGGTTTAGGGTTGAGTGTTTAGGGTTTAGGGTCTACAAGGGTTTAGGGTTTAGGGCGGTTTCGTCGCTCTCTGCGGCTTGGAGTTTTGTGTCGTACTTCGGGTTTACTAGGGTTCATCACTTGGAAGCCATGACGGTGGCCACACGGGCCTAAATCTGTTCAATGCGCGGGGCGCATCAAGTGTGCAAGACTGCTCTCAATTCGGCGTCTTCCTAGGAAACAGAAGGCTTTTTAAGCCTGAAAGTGCGAGAGATTGCCTAGTGCGCTTGCAGATCAACGCGCACGTGCAAAGAGGATGTCTTCAGTGCGATCCGGAATGGGATCGGGCGACATGACGTAGCGCGTCAAAAGGAAGTACTCCTTCCAGCCATCGAAGGTGGAGCCCGTCTTCACGTAGGACACGGGCTCGCCCAGAATGTCGGTCGTGAATCGGAGCTTTGTGACTCCGTGCCAGGTGCTCGCAGCCTTAGCCTCAGCTACCTCGGCCCATTGCTCGGCCGAGCGCGTCCTCTCCACTTTGCTGATCTTGCGAAGCCTCACAGGCCACGCTCTATCGCTCTCGGAGATGCTACTTGGACTTGGAGGTTCATGGGGGGCCGGGTAGTTTAGAAGTAGGGTTATAAGTATGGCAACTATACTTATCACCCTGCTTAGGGCTCTTGCTTCTTGAAAGTACCCATGAACCTCCAAGTGCCGGTATCCCTGCGTGCTATACGCAAAACGGGCAGCAAAGCAGCGACAACCGTGACAGCCGGCCTGTCGTGAGGCAGCTTGAGGAGCTTCTGAAAAGCCTCGCAGGTCGGCATCGAAAGCGGTCGAGATCACGAGCTCTTCAGACAAGGACGGCAAGTCGATGTCCCCAAATAGTAGGATTCTCTTATTATAAGGACCCCAAGGAGGTACCCCTCTTTTCGGAAACCCACATGTAACTCTATACGTCTGCATTGTTCCTCGCCTCCTCCCCTGGTCCAGCTGGCTGGCGACAGGTTGCCCGAAGCTGTGCGAAATTCTGCACCTCAGTTCACAAAAAACAACAGCCTCTAGCACCACAGGGTCCCTAAACCCTAAACCCTAAACCCTAAACCCTAAACCCTAAACCCTATGTTTCGGCCAAGCTGCTGACAGAAGCGGCGAAACATGCGCCAAGATCCTGGACAACAGGTAATAGGTTGGCACAAGCTCCCTGCGGACTGAGCACTCCCCTCCACACTCTGAGGCCCGGCAGAAAAAGTAAGGAGATGGGGGCCCACTCCGGGTCCTAATAGAGGGGCCTGAATGATTAGAACAGTTTTGGGGGTTACTTCAGCATAATTACAAAGGGACCATAAGGGAATATTGTTTGTCATCATTCCTTAAACCCTGAACCCTAAACCCCAAACCCTAAACCCTAAAACACTAAACCCTAAACCCTAAACCCTGAACCCTAAACCCCAAACCCTAAACCCTAAACCCTTCCGACCCCTCTAATCGATTCTCAGGATCTGTGAACCACGCACGGCAGTCTCATTGCCGCTGGGCGACTCACGGGGCAAGCTGCAGCTCGCAACCACCTCGATCCAGGCGCAGCTCTGAGGCAGATCTAGGGTATAGGGTTTAGGGTTTAGGGTTTAGGGTTTAGGGTTTAGGGTTTAGGGTTCAGGAATCTGTTTGCTCAGGCTCAGGAATGTGAGCCCGTGTGCATGATCTCCTATGTGAGCATGCCGACAGCTACAGGCTGAGGCTCCAGACGAACTCGGCTTCTCGCGCATATCCTCCAAGACACCACCATCAGGGGTTTCCCTACTACCCCCTTCTATACTACCCCCCCCCCCCCCGCCCAGGTTCCGCCTGAATTCTCCCTAAATAGCCCTTAATAATGGGGGGAACCTAGGAGGGGGGGTAGTGTAGAGGAGGGGAGTAGGGGAACCCATGATGCTGACACAGCCCACGCAGCCATGCCTTCCGGGTGCGTGCAGCTGAAGCCTGGGTTTAGGGTGTAGGGTTTAGGGTTTAGGGTTTTAGGGTTTAGGGTTTAGGGTTTAGGGTTCAGGGTTGAGAGTTCAGGGTTCAGGGTTCAGGGTTGAGAGTTTAGGGTTTAGGCTTTAACTTTAGGCTTTAGGGTTTGTGTGCTTCCGAGATTAGAGGCGGTACCTTATTGGGGTCCTTACTAATTATAAGGGAACCCCACTATTTAAGGGACTATATCCCTGACCATGTCTGCATGCAAGAGAACATGGACATGTGGCGTCATGCGGAGGCTGAGTGTCTGGCAAGCCGATGCAAAGCGATTGATGGCTGCTGCCCAGGCTTCCATCGGAAGCGAACGCGGCTGCCGACACAAGGGTGGCTACAGCAACGAAGCAAGAGAGCTAAACGCCCGTGCTCGAGCTCAGATCACCAGCTGCAGGGATGCGAAAGTCCACAAGTCGCCCCCGCAAGCCAAAAGGATCAAGGGGGTCGCAGTGCTCAGATGAGGTGGGCCTACCCTCAGCCCTATGCCCATGCGTATAACCCTCCTAAGTGCAAAAACCCCAAGCCCTAAACCAAAAACAAGAAAAACGCCCCAAGAAAGTATGACCCAAAGTCCGAAACCCCGAACCAAAGTTAGAATGTCACATGCCCCTGAGGCGAGAGCTCATCGCTACAGCCACTCAAACCAATGACAGCAACAACGGCGATGGCCCTTAAAACCCTCTGAAACATATTCCTGAATGTGATCCTCTTAAACCCAATACGGTAACACATAAAATGCCCATATGGCCTACCTAGCCCATGTACTGTAGCCCCTCTCCCGTGTCACCCAGGCGCCCCCCCCCCCCCCCCGCGCTGAGCCTTGACTCGCGCCTCATCGCGGGCAAGCTTCCCGTCCAGATCCATCAGGGCCTCCCCCCGTGTTGAGGGTTAAGGGTTTAGGCTCGAGGGTCTAGGGTTCCCGATACCCAGGAACCCTAAAACTCAAGGGCTTGAATGCTAAAAATCCAGGGCTTCAACCCTCAAGGGGGGGGGGGGGGGGTGTGAAAGGGGGAGCAACTTTGAACTCTAAACCCCAAACAAATTCTACTTTCACATCTTGCGACTTTGATGATGATAAGGGAAGGTCTGTCATGGTTCATGAAGAACGCACTCTAGGAGTTTACGAAAGTATACAAGGGACCCTGAATATAGACACCCAAATAGTAGAATTCCCTTATGATAAGGACCCCTCTATGGCTGTTGGAGCCAACTCAGTTGAGAAGGTCCTGACGTCCCTAAATCGTTGACTGTCATAGGTTTAGGATTTTGGGATATTTAGTTTGGGGTCATGAAGAAACCTGAAACCGCCCAAACCAAACAACAAACACCCCCGAAAACCCGAAACCCTGAACCCGCAACCCTCACCCCCCCCCCCCCCCCCCCGCCCGCACACCCACCCACACCCACACCCACACCCACACCCGCACCCGCACCCCCACCCCCACCCCCACCCCCACCCGCACCCGCACCCCCACCCACACCCACACACCCACACACCCACACACCCACACACCCACCCACACACACACACACACACAAGGCCGCGTAGTTAATCACCGGGTAATGAAGGACAGTTACTGGGACACCCACCTCACAGACCCCGATAAGCCGGCATTGGATTAATCTACATTTTGAATCTGAAGCGGACAATGCTGTTTTTAGATGTCTAGATCTGTGTCTTTCTATGCAAATTGTGCGTTTAAAGGGCAATTAATGTTTTGTTGAGCAACTAATTTATTTATACAGTTGTGTTTGCACGAGGCAAAGCATTAATCAAATAGTGAAACATTTTTCTTGATTCTATGCGAATTTAACTACTAGAGTATTTATTAAGCAAAGAGCCCAATTTGACTCAAGTGAATACTGTTTAAGGGAGCATACTCAACCAAGATACGAAATAGGCACGATTCTCAACCAAAATATGGCAAAGTGTGCGTTTAAAGGGCAAATAATGCTTTGTTGAGCAACTACCATATTTATAGAATTGTGTTTGTACTAGGCAAAGTATGAACCAAATACTATCTGAGAAGTCCGCTGAAATACCTTATGTTTACATATTCATGAAATTCTTCATTTTTGAAATAAAGTTTCTATGCGAATTTAGCTACTAGAGTAATTATTAAGCAAATAGCCCAATTTGACTCAAGTCAATACCATTTAAAGGACCATACTCAACCAAAATACGAAATAAGCATCATATTCAACCAAAATATGGCAAAGTGTGGTTTAAAGGGCAAATAGTGCTTTGTTGAGCAACTAATGCATTGAAACAGTTGTGTTTATACCAGGCAGAGTATTATTGGAATACTATCTGCAAAGTCCACTGAAATACCTTATGTTTACATATTCATGAAACAACTTTTTTTGAAATATCCATTCTATGCGAACTCAACTACTTCTTAAGCAAATAGCCCAATTTGACTCAAGTGAATACTATTTAAAGGACCATACTCAACCAAATACGAAATAAACACTAACGGAAATGGAAGCGGTTCTACCTACATAACAATGAAACAAAGATTGCTGAAGTATTCAATAAAGACCACTTATATACTATGTCTGAAAAGCACAATTTGCATAAGCAAGCTTAAAAATGCACAACAATGGAAATAGAAGCGGTTCTACTTACATAACGATGAAACAAAGATGTCTGAAGTATTTAAGAAAGACCACTTATATACTATGTTTGAAAAACACAACTTGCACAATCAGGCCTAAAAAATGCACAAGAATCCTAGAAAAGTACTTAGTGAAGGCCATACACAAGCAAATTCACAAATACAAAAAAGCATCCAAAAGCGCAAACTAGTCAGGAGAATCTCTGGTGAAGTTTGGATTATAGGGTTTTGGGGTATCCCTGGACGAGCAGGAGGTACGTTTTAAGCAAACAACTTTAAGCAATAAATGCTTTTTCTCAAGACAAGTATTGCAAATGCTGCTTCTGGATAATTAATCGCTTTTACCAGGCAACTAGTATCCATGCGAATTTAGCTACCAGAGCGCCAAGTAATGGCTGAATAAGGTCTACTACACTTGAGTACAGCCAAAAGATGCACCAAACACTAGTTTAAAAAAAAGCGAAGCGGTTCTACTTACATAATAACGAAACAAATCGTTCTGAAGCACTAGAAAGACCACTTGTATACTATTTCTGAAAAGTACAATTAGCATAAGCACACTTAAAAATGCGTAGTTGTTGCTTCGTGACCGTGAAGGCGAACCAAAAAGCCAAAATACCAAAACCAAAAAAAAAAAAACAAAAATACCAAAACAAAAAAAGAACAAAAAAAACCAATTTTCCGGGACTCTTGGAGAAGCCTCATAGGGACTCCTGAGAATTCCGGAAAATTGGTTTTGTTGGTTCTTTTGGTCTTTTTGGTTTTGGTTTTTTTTAGTTTTTTTTGGTTTTGTTGTTTTTGGTTTTTTTGTTTTTTCCCCAGATAGCTTTAGCTATTAGGGGTTCTAGCTAAATAGGACCTTTCGCGTCCGCACCGGCGCAGCGGGCGCGGCGGCATGCAGTCATGCAGTCATGCCGGTGAGGCGGTGCAGCGGCATGCAGGCATGCAGGGATGCAGGCATGCAGGCATGCAGGCATGCAGGCATGCAGGAGGGGATGCTGGTGCTGGTGGCATGTAGGTGGGGCAGTAGGGAGCGCGGCGTCCGCGGCCGGTGGAAAGGGCGCAGCGGCATGCAGGCACGGGTGCAGGCATGTAGGCACGTGGCTTGCATGTGGGGCAGTAGGCAGTGCGGCGTCCGCCCTCCTGCATGCCACTTGCCCCCTGCATGCTTACATGCCTGCACGCCGCACGCCTGC